TATTTTATTTGGGGACAAAAATAAATTACCAGTGCAAAATATGTTTTGCATCAGATAGTAAATGGTAAACAATGCTTCAGTCTTTAACTTGACCCACAGTTCTCTTATCCCACTAGGAAGAGGGAATGAGGGAGCAGCTGGGTGGGAGTATGGCTGTTTGCCATGGCTAAACCATCACAGATATGCCTGCTGTTTGGTGTGTTAAGCCCACACACACAAGTGAAACATTTATGGTTTTCATTTATTGCTTTCGATGGAGGCTGCTGATGCCTGTATCAGTTCCATTGATGCTTTTTGCAGTTTGTTTCCCAAACATAGAATATCTCTGGGTTATTGTTTCATGAAATGTTTTTTTTTTTTGAGAACTGGACTTCAGAGGTAGTTCAGAAAAATATAGTTCTGCAATAGCTTCTTCCAGAGACCTATATCCAAGATGTTGTGCAGTTTCTATTTTTTGTTTCACCAGAAACATGAATTGTAGAATAAGTGATGGTTACCAGTGAAAAAGACTTTTCTGCTTCTGTGGTCTGTGCTGAGGTTAAATGTTAAGACTTCTGCCTATACTGTTGAGAAACTGCTCTGTGCCCTGTCTGTATTTCTGCTAGCTGAAAGTGCCAGTTCCTGTATGATGCCTTTGCAGTATTAATGAGTAGATCACTAGTACTGGCATTCTGCATGCTCAGTTTGTACAGAAAAGAAACTGGGAATTGTCCTCTGACAAATGAAAAGAATAAAATATTTCCTTCATGTCATGCCCTAGCTGGCTTTGTGAGGCTCAGCAGTATTTTCTACTTGAGAAACCACTGAAGGATACGGCAATTATTTAGACTTTAAATGGTTTGGAGCTTCCTGCACTTCATAAAAGCAAACACTGTAAATGTTGTACCAATAACATTTTCTTTTAGCTGTTTTTATACAGGTTTATTTCAGTCCATATGTACAGATACTTTGCTCCATTTGCATGTAATAAAATAGATGTTCACAGGTACCTGAGAGAATCACTCTCACACTCAGTATCAAACTGGGAACATGAAGTGCACCCTAAAGTTTGTTCTACACCAGAAGGAGAAATTTTGTTGTAGTTGCTTATGAAATGTAAGTAAGCCTATTATATACAGACATAAAAATATTTGTAAAAAATAATAATATATAATCACATTTATATGTCTAAATTGTCTATGAACAAATCTAGATATGAATAATGATACAAATATGTATTTATATGTGTCTAAATACGTATAATTACATAAATGTGAGTGCATACATTTCTGAGTATGCTTACATACATATAGAAATACACGTATTTGCATACACGTACAAGTCACATATATAGATATGTATCTATTTGGTGTATAAGTTGCTGTTTATTGTGTACACTTATCATTGCTCTTTTGCCATGAATGTTACATAATCTTTCAAACTCTTAGGACAAAAGACAGTATAGTTCCCACATTCTTTTGTGACTTTTTTCGGGCCTATTTCTCCTTCTTTTTTATTTCACACACACCCCCCCCCCCCATCTTCCCCAAATAGATACTTTAAGAATAGTTGAACATGATTCTACTATAAGATAGCTTCCAGATCTGAGATGGTATTTTGTTTATCACCAAGCCTGGAGAGATAAGGTTTTTCAGATTATATCAATGTCTAGATAATGTGCATTTGGATGGGAGAAATGAAGTAATTTCATGTTAGAGGGCATGTTACATTATTCAGTGATATTGCTACACAGTCAGATTGAAACCATAGGTTGGTTCAGAAAAGTTGTTTTCTTCTATAGGACTACAAAAGCAGAAACATCTGCAGTATTAAATCCATTGTGCCACATATTTGCATGTGCCACCAGAATCTGAACAGCTTTTTTTTTACAGAACTACTTTTTCAACATAGATTAAAATTATTTAGTAAATGTTTAGCAAAGGATGACTTGAAATCCAAATTCCATTAGGATTTATTCTGACCTATTTAATAGCTGGAAATTCATGTCCTTCTCCAAAAGTCCACTGGACATTGAAAAGCATACATAATTGCTTTTTCAAAAGTTTTTCAAATGTTTCATCAAAGAAATAATTTGAACAGCAATAAAATTTGGGAACTATTTTAAAATGTCCAGAATCTGTAGTAAAAAAACTGTTGTTTTGGATTATTTTACAGTGCAAGAGGCAAAAGAAAGAAATGTATATGGCTAGCAGTACAGACTTTTGATAGTATTTGCCTGTGTCATTAAATACTGTAGAGTGCATTTATTTACATAAATTAATTTCCTATAATTTTTTTAACTGATTTTGTAATTTTTTTTTTTTTTTACCATAAATGTTAAAGGAACGTAGGAACATTATAAAATGGTTTCCACTGGCTTCGTTGTAAATGTTCAGTCTTTAAATGCATGAGATTTTCATGTGGATTTAATTATGGATTTTTTTGAATCAGTTGCTCTGGCTTTAAAGTCCAGGCAAAAGACTGCTGTTGAGATGCTGATGAAAGGTACAGTATAGCCTATAGTCTGGACATGGCAAGGTGCAAACAAATTGATACAGGAGCTGAGTTTGGTAGAAGTCCTATTTTCTGAAATGCTTAGGAAAAGAAGAGCCAAGTCAATTTCCAGGAGAAGAGGAAACTATCCAATCAGCTTCTGAGTATCCACTGACACTAGCATTGCATTCTTAATAATGGAGGCTGTGGTGAAGCCTCTATTTGGTGATGCATGATTTCACACTTGGAAGCCTTTGCAACACTGGTGATTCCAATGCAATAATTGATCATCCCTGGCTTTATCCTTTCCTTCCCTTTACTATTATTTCTTTTTACAATTCTTTCCCATGGATCATCTCAGTTCCTTAAGTTTCAACTCAAGCATGCTGGAAACAAGGACATTGACAGTCACAAAACGTGAAGTAAGATTAAATTAGTTTGGAGTATCGTATATCATCTGATGTTCCCTGACTATGGTGAAATCGATAGCCTGAGAAAAAGACATATCAGGACAAATACTAGCTGTTGTAATTATGCAAGTTTGCCCTGTAGCATGGCCTTGTAGCAGTAAATGATGCACTGTAATGCAGCCCATAGGAAGTGTGGGGCGGTGTCTGTACCCTAAGGCAGGGAAGGCTATGGGAGATTATATCACAGTGCCCTTAATATGTCTTTTCATATTCAACTGACTCTATTCCTCTATGTAGAAAAGACAGGGTCCTCAGGAAACTAGATGACTCTGTGGTATCTCCTGTCCCTATTTACACCATTATTCACCTTGACAGTTCATTGTTTAGTTTCTGTTCTATAAGTGCATTCCGTTTCTGAACTGTGGAAGAAAGAATTGTGTGATTTCTCACAATCTCATTTCTGAGCATTTTCTTCTCTCTAGGTTAAGCTCACTAGAAGTACTTTCATGTCTTTCCAGCTTAGCTGAAAATTCCCAAAGCTGGATATTTCAGACAGATTTAAAACCATCCAGTGTAAATGCTACAATGTGGGGAGCCCAGGGTGGGAAATGCCACCCAGAGTAAAGCAGAGAATGTCCTAAGAAATAAGTGCTCTGTTTTGGAGCCCTGAACTTGACTCAGCAGTGCTAAGAAAAGAGTTTGCTTTTGTGTGATAGATGACCAAAAGGATCTCAGAAGGCAGTTTTTGAGCATCAGCTTTGGATGCGCAAATCATGGAGAAACATTTTGATTCTCCATCTGCAGGATACCATGTATTAGTCCTTGTTTTTTTTTTTTTTGCCCTGCAGGTGACAGGGAAAGGCAGACTCATCCAAATTAATTTTGGAAATGCTTAAAGCTATTTTCTTCATAAAATAGAAAAGCCATTATCTGAAATTGCTGGGGTGAATGAACATTTTCAGTCTGCATTGGCTTGGAGAGGTACCAGAAGGATTTCTGCTACTGAACTTCGTGTTGCCTCTAGGCAGGTAACTACCTGGAGTTCAGTAGATGGCTTTGTGGAGGAAAGATTGTTTAGCTGTACTGGTGGTGGAGTAGTGCCTGAAGAAAATAACAAGAAATAAAAGCTTCCACTTTGTGTGTAAGTGTAAGAATTATAATTGGAAACTCAAAGGATAGGAAGCTTTTCTGAATACTATAATTCACTCAGTCTTTACACAATAACAGTATCATTTACTCTTCCTTAGTAAAAACCCTTTTCTGGTAAGTAACACATCCCTTTCATATGAAAGGTGCTTTGAGCAGGAATTCTAGGCTAGTAAACCCCTAGAATTTAGTTTACAGACAAATTTAGTATCTTCTTTAACTCAGGAAAAATAACGTCTGGATGCTTGCTTGTTTCCTCCTTCCTTTGCAGGACTGTGTTGTGCTTGAGTGGTTTGTTTACAGGGAGGAACTCTAGGTTCAGAAGAAAATTACTACTTTCTTTTTTTGGGATGGGCTGACAAGACATGGTCATTCAAGGTTTTGAGTCCATGGGTTAAGAAATAAACCAGGTCAAGGAACTGTAATTCTCTTTATTTGATAAATGCATTTATTTCTAAGAAAGCAGCAGAACCTATTCAGAAATATGCCAGTGGAAGAACTTTGATATATAAATCTAAAACCACTATGGAAACGATGAAATAAAGTACTTGTGCATAACTTTCTGCAACTTGTCTAACAGAGGAAAGCAGTATAAGAAACACTAATACTAATTATTTTCTGAATGTGTTTCCTGGACTATGATTGTTGTCAGGCACTGACAATATATGTCAGGGTCTGGACCTGATCCTGAACAAGTAGTGTCTGCCTTTCTATGTTTCTCTGTTGTCTCCCTGAAGCTATTTTCTTTCAGTGCTTCAGTGCAGGTTATAGGGAAATGAGGGGGAGATGAATCAGGAATTGTTATTACCATTAGATGGTGTGGAGGAGACAATAAGAACTGCACAACTGGCCAAGATTTCATTTTCCTTGATCCCTCCTGTGTGTATTACCTTCTTAGTATAGCACCAGCAGAAATAGTCCACCCATCCATCCTTGAGAATTCCTTAGCATGAGGAGATTTATTTCAGAGCAAGATGACCTGATTAATTTCATACTGCATTCAGCTGCAGCTCCTGAGCTCAGTCTGTTTATAAGGATTTCAAAGCAAATTGTCATCACCTGCAAGAAATCATATCAATAGGTAGCTTTGGTGAAACCTTAAACTTACTTACATTTTGTTTTACTATCATTAAAAATTCTTTCCTGTATCATCTCACAAACATAATGTCTAGTAAAAATTTTTAGGAACTAATTGCTGGAATTTGCAAAAGCAAATTTCTTGTTCATACTACAGAAACTTCAGCCTTGGGAGACATTTTGGTATAGATTTCTGGAGAGGAGTTATACCTCTAAATACAAAAAATACCAAGACATGAAGGCTGATTTCAAATCTAATCTTCACCTCACTTCCTCTAGATAACAGAGAAGTGTAGATCCAAGGCTAAAACTTTCATTGTAACAATAAAATATCATCTAGGATAATAGGATGTCTCCCCAGACTACATCTGCATCAGCAATTTTTAATGTATCAATTGAGGCCAAAAATTATCTAGCAGCTAAAACATTCCTGTGGGTTAATGGCTTTATGGATTTTGACTATAAATATATTTATATACTACATCATTTTTGCCTTTGCAGTAGGAAGAATTTTTTAAGTGAGTGTGGAAAACTACTAGATTGGCCAGAAAAGATCAAAATTCTGGACCTTCTGGCTTAGCTGGATCTTGATAATGACTGTGTTACAGTAATTTAGAAAAGATCCATACTGTATAAATACAACCTCATTTTATTACTATATGTATACCGACAAATTGCCAGAACTGTGTCTACGGCACAAGAAAAATGGAGACATACAAAGTAATATGAAGTCCCCATATTAAAGAGCTTACCATTTAAAAGGCTAATAGGAGAAGATAAAGCTGGCTAGGGAGGGAATATAAGAGGTGTGTCTGTGGCAGGTTTGTAAAGCATTAAGATGTTTCATCTTAATGAGGCTGAGAAAGGCTGAGAAAGTTGAAGCTGTTCAACATGGAGAAGAGAAGGTTGTGTGAAGACCTTCCAGTATCTGAAGGGGGGGTATAGGGATGCTGGGGAGGGACTCTTCGTTAGGGACTGTAGTGAGAGGACAAGGGGTAACAGGTTAAAACTTAAACAGGGGAAGTTTTGATTGGATAAGGAAGAAATTCTTTACTGTGAGGGTGGTGAGGCACTGGAATGGGTTGCCCAGGGAAGTTGTGAATGCTCTATCCCTGGCGGTGTTCAAGGCCAGGTTGGGCAGAACCTTGGGTGACATGGTATAGTGTGAGGTGTCCCTGCCTATGGCAGGGGGATTGGAACTAAATGATTTTAAGGTCGTTTCCAACCCTAACTGTTCTATGATTCACCACAGCCATCATCAAAAGGTTGTTAATTGTTAACTGTAGTGAATAATACTTCGTTTGCATTTCCCAATGAGATATCCCTTGCATACTCATATGAGTAAAATAATCTGAATCTGCTGCACTGGTCATTTTTGAAAAAAGTGTTATGAGTACAGTAAAAGTTCGGCACAATCCAGGACATTGATTATTCACTTGTTGTATTTGATCCTGGGCAGCAGTCAGCAGCAGTAGTTTCAGAATAAATGTCAAGCTATCCTCGTCTCCCTTCTACACTGAGGAAGTATAAAAATTGCCTCCCTCCAAAGGGAAACATTTTAAATAGAGGCATTGAGCTGTCTGCAAGAGTCTGAAAAGAGACTTAGCAGGATTTACATATAAAAGAGTGGTGGGACTGTCAGAGTTCTCAGCACTGTCTTAAATCTTTGCCCATTTAAACCGATAATAAAACTCCTTTTAACTTCCAGAAGACCTGCAGGTTGAGGCAGTGGCATATATTTATGTAGTACTTTCCTGGCAGAATGCAGTAGAGGGTTGTGTCAGGAAGGGGGACCATCCACCAGAAGTTCTCCCACTGTCACTTGGATGACTTGTCTGCCTTCCATCTGGCTGGTCCTGTCCTACCTCTGCTGATGTAGGTGTCCATGCAGGTAGACACCATGATGCTCTGTGCAGGAAAAGGTGTGCTTCAGCCTCAGTTCACTTGCAGAAATGGGATCTTGATAACTTTGGGGGAGAGTAGTGGGCGATGTAGCTGAAAGAGGGAAACACAAAAAAAAGAGGGTTAAGAGAAGGACAGAAGTGAGCCCTTGTCCTTCAGTTTTCAGTACTGTTTCTATATTGCCATTTTTTAAAACAGTGTTTTGTCTTCTTATAACTTACTTTTATTTTATTTTTCCCCTGTATTACTGTGGGAATAAAACCAGTTAAAAATAAATAAAAAATATTTTTGTTTTCTAGCAGTTGTGGCACAGGGGAGCCACATTTAAGAACCAGCTGGCCTGTAAAGCAACACAGCATGAGCACCGTCTCTGCTCATGATAATTTACAGTACAAATAGGAAGAACTGGTGCTTAATGACATGGGTCATAGAACCACACAGACTTGACATATCTTTCAGCAAATTAAAAAAACTCCTATGCTGAAAAACTAAAATCATTATCATCACCTAGTATAACCAGTTGGATCATGGGCAGTACACAGCATGGCATTTCCAAGTTAAGAAAACCCCCAAATTTCTGTGGATAATATGTCTTAATACTTTATAGTTTTCTTGTCTTGAGTCTGAGCTTTCTTTCAAGCCTAAATGTTTTCCATCTCTTTTTTCAGCGCCTGAGTGTTGACTCCTGCTTGAGCAAGGAGTCAGCTACTGCAAATGGGATTTTGTCATGTAAGACAGTGATCCAGTTTTCATTCAGCTGGTTATACCCACAGTGCAATACAGAGAACAAGAGCAAGTTATTTAGGAATTATAGAGAGTCTTGCCCTGTCTGAGCTCTGTCTCACTGGGCTGGAGCAGTGACCAAGATAGCTGATGTACACCTAGCTCAGCAGTGTGGGTTAGCAAGTGCTTGGACTGCAGGATAGATACTATATACAACATCCTTGGAAGGTGATGTAGGGGGTAAGGAAATGGTTTTGACCAGCACCACTTCCAGAAAGCACTCCAGTCTCTCATGCTTAAGGTTTACAGAATAAATCATACTCTTCTGTCACATAAAATTATGAAATATCCATGAAGCATCCACAGCTGCTGGGAGCCTATGGAGAGCATAAGGGAAGCAGAGCAACTGTCCTCATCAAAGAGAAGCAGTTCCGTAGCACCTGAGGAAGCTGAACAGATCATCTCTCCTGAGAACAGCAAGGTTCAGCCAAGTGTTCAGTGATCACCAGTCAAACCCACAGTGACAAGTCAGGTTCAGAGCTGAGCCAGGAGGTCAAATCATCACCTCAGTGTCAAGATCAGTGAGGTAGGCTCCTTGGCACACGCATACCTACAACAAGCTAAAGGCAGAATCAAGCTCTGAAGCCTGAACACAGATCCTGAGCAAAGGGAAGTGGCCCCAGTGAAACTTCTCTCGGCTCTCTTAAGCCTCAGCTGTCTAGCCCCAGCCATCACAACTGGGCTGTAGCACAGACGGATGAGCCTGCAGAGCCTGCACTTTAGGGCCCTGACACTCACCTTATGAACCCAAAGAGACAAATAAAAGGCTAACAAATGAAATCATCCTGCACCAGGCAAAGATTCTTAGAAACAAACTATCCTAAGATGACAATTTAGGATTACACAACACTGGAGATCATGAGCACCTCCCCTGCCCTGCAGATCAGAATTTTGTGCACTACACGCTAACTCAAAAGGCTTTAGGCCTCAGGAAGCCTTTTGATCATCTGAAGCCTTTCTGATTGCCTTATTTCCACTGTTCCATACAATTCACAGTAGTAGCCTAAGAAACAGTGTACTTAAAATATTAATTCCATGATTAAAGCTTATATTTACCCAGTCTTGTATGTGAGACGGGTAGTGACAAAACGCGGTAGACGTCTTAAATTTTCTGAGGTCCTGCTGATTGAAGATACAGTTCCTATAGGCAATCACTTAAATCAAGAAGCAAGTAGCTAGGAACAGCTGTATAATGCAGTGAACAACATGAGCTAAACTTTCAGATTTTTGTTTTAAATGGCTTCCAAAATTTTTATGTAGAGTTAAAATCTTTTTTATCATCCTGCACCTCTGCTGTGTTTTCTTACTAGAGACAGATTTTAGGAACAAAACTTCTTTGTATTTGATGAGTTTTGACATCTGTGCTGGATGAGGATCCAGAATTTAATTCTTCCTCAGTGTCGCCTTCTTTCTTGCACATTTTAAGATATTTTATTTCCACAGTTTCAGCTTCAGCCCACTGCAAAAACACAGACATCCTCCCTTGTTCTGGGCTGTTTGATATATAGAGCATTTAATTTATGTTTCTTTCTCTTGTCTCTAATGGACTGAAAATGGTGAATGTTCTGACATTAATTATGTTATTTAATGTTTCATATTCTTTATTCAGAAAAATCTACTATTACATGTTATTTTTCAGCTTGTCTAGTTCAGCTCTTGTGCACATGCCACTTTAAACTTAGGATCACTACACTTCTCCGTCACTTTTTAAAGGTAAAATGATTACACATACACACAAACAAAAGAAAGGTGTTATTAACCATTTTTATAAATACAAACGACTAGTACCATTTTATGGATCTCTTGCCTAAACTACAAGGAATTAATTGAAGCTGGTGCCGTTAGGCTGGATTTACATCAGTGCAAATAGAAGAATTTACCTCTAGATTGAAAGAAGCACAAGAATTGAGGTGTGTACGAACAAAATTAGGGAACGTATCAGGAAATCAGCCTGAACAGCAGCTGATACGGCTGCATGTATTAAACCTTCTCTGTTCTCTTGCTTCTAATGCAACTCTAGTATTATGTACAACTGTGCAACTGTATAACAGAATTTCAATCTGACATTTCTGGTTTGTATTTTTATCAGATGAAGAAACCTACAGTTCTATACCATCTCTTTTTACCTGATGGCTGTGATGAAAGGAAGGATATTAATAATATTAGAAAATATTCATACTATTATTTGCGTTTAAAAAATGTAACAAATATGCAAGGTATTGGATTGCTCTATGTCACAAAAGGTAGGATAAGGATCACCACTGAACTTATGTGAGACATGTCTATGTTCATTAATAGATTTCCAAAAAAAGTGATTAGTTGTACTTGTTCAGTGTTTTGAAGTTCTTCCTCTAAAGAAAGTTTGTTGAAACATCTGGGATGAATATTCAAACATGACATTACTAGAACTACACAAGACGCCTAGAAATCCAGTGGTCAAAGTGGTAACATTGCATTAATGCTGATTAGCAGATGAATTGCAGAAAGGCATATTGAGGAAACTCTTTTAGACTGAATTAATTGAAATTGCAGGCGCAATTAAATTACAAAAGACAATGAGCTAGACATTCAGCTGGTACAAATTACTACAGCATCATTGAAATCAAAACCTAGTTCAGTGGCTGCTGGAGGACTTCCATATCCTGACTCCAAAGATTCTTATAGAATTTGTTGTGTGCCATACATAATAAGCTGTCGTAGAAGGATTTCTATTTGTTGCAATGTCATAGAGGTGGTTCTCTTTCAGGATTTAAAAGCCTGAATGCCTCTAAGAATGGCACTAAGAATGTCCCTAGCGAAGCTCTGCCATAATTGCTAATTGGGTTATGAAATTATGCGTTAGGTTGTGTAGATGAGCATTTGTGGGGTCAAGCTTCAAAGACTTTGTCCCTCAAATTATGATTTATCTGTCTTTTCATTTCACTTCTCAAAAATCTATGAAGGGAGATATGAATATTTTATGCTTCTCAGGCAAGGAAGATTTCTACATCTTTGTGTAGAGAAAGAACAGATAAGTATAGGGTTTTTTTTTGACCGTGTTTGATTTTATAAAAAAAAAAACAAAACCAAACAAAAGTCATAGCATTTTGTTAAGAAAACCATTAAGTTGAGAGTACAAAAAATATAGTTTAAACTGCTTTTCTCTTTAATTTTTTTTTGTATAAGGCTAACACAAATTATGTTCCGATTTATGCATCGATGAAGAAAGGTCATTAGTTTGTAAGCACATTGTCTAAACATTGGAGTAAAATTACATTCTCAGGCTGTGATACAATTAAAAAGAGTGATGAAGGTCCTCTAACATTATGTAATTTTTAGAGCAGATTCCTTCCCTACTCAGTCAACTTAGTCAAGAAGAGACTTATTCCACTCTTGTCTGAGGGAAATTGACATTCACATGTCCTGTAATCAGTTTCTTTTAGAAAGTAGGAAAACTGGACAATTTACAAACAAGCCAGTTAGTCTGGACTCTAAACAAGGAAGAACAGAGTTACCACAACAGATTAAGTTCATGTTGCAGAAATATTGCTACTACTTCTGTGATATGCTTCACTGTCAGTAGCTTTAGGTAGACTTCTAAAAAGTAACTTTATAGGTTACGAACATGTTCCTTTCTCTTTCTCTTTTTCTTTTCCTTTCTCTTCCTGGTTTCCATTTCCTTTTCTTTTTTATTTTTTTTTCCTTTTCAATTTTCATTTCCTCCAAATATCTCCTGAATATGTTCTTATAACAGTCAAGGTCACATTAATTGACTATAAGTTTGTGCTTCCACTGAAAGTGGATGGATGTTTCTCTCTGCAGTGTTCTCAAGTCTCTCATTTGTTCTCACTTTCTGCTTTTATAGACTGGAAATGGTCCAAAGAAGGGCCACAAAGATGATGAAAGAGATGGAGAACCTGTCTTGTGAAGGAAGACTCAATGAGTTAGGTCTTTTCTCCCTTACCCTGGTTCCAGCTGAGATAGAGTTAATTTTCTTCCTAGTAGCTGGTGTTTTGGCTTTAGTCTGAGAATAACACTAACAACATACTGATGTTTTAGATGTTGCTCAGTAGTCCTTACCCCAGTCGAGGGTACCCATCATGATATTCTAGCATATATTGGGCAGCTACAAAGAGGATGGAGAATTTTTCTTCACAAGGAATCACACATAGTAGACAAGGGGCAAGTTGCACTGGGAAGGGATTCATCTCAACATAAGAAAGAAATTTTTTACAGTAAGAACAAGCATTCATCAGAACAGCCTCCCCAGGGATGTGGTAGAGTCCCCATTGCTGCACGTTTTCAAGATGCATTTGTACAGGGTGCTAGGAAATTTCACCTAGTCTCCCTCCCTTTCCCTCAAAAAGTTGGACCAGGTTATCTTTCCAGTTCCTTTCCCACCTGTGCTGTTCCGTGATTCTTATTAAAGACAATCGCATTCACCATTCAATTTTCTAGGTTATTTTTCAGTTATATTAGTTCTTTGCATTGCTAAGCACACAGCTGTGTTAACTCAAGTGCAGATGCAATGCATAGAAGAGATGAAAAGGAGTATCTGACTGTAGAAAAAGCATGTAAAACTTTTTTTTTTGTTAAAGAAGTGAATGTAACCACAACGTCAGCAGTGCTCATCTTTCAGAATTGGTTTGTCCTTCAGCTTACTATAAGTCAGGTATGAGATTTAAGGGGAACTTCCCCTTGGATTCTTGTGCTGCTTTACGACTTTGCTCTTTTACAGGTTTTTGTTGTCTTTTAGTTAAGCTGCACTGGATTCATTTTGAATGGTCGTAGCTACAGTCAGAATTACTGTCAATTCTCTAGATATGAACGTGGGAATTTGTCGTGGTTTAAACCCAGTCAGGCAACTCGTTCACTCACTCCCAGTGAGTGGTGCCGGGCTGATAACAATCGAGGCCCCCCTCACCCCCACCCCCCCCACCCACCGGAGCTTTCCCCTTCTCTGCTCCCAGAGGAACGGGGAGGAAGATCGAAAGAGGGCAACTCCTACGGGTTGAGACAAGAACAGTCCAGCAACCAATGTACAACACAAATCACCACCGCTACCACCAATGACAACAATGATAAGGGAAAATAACAAGGGAAGAGAATACAATACCACCGGCCAAGAAACGAGTCCCACCGGGAAGCCCGTGTCCTTCTGGGTAACTCCCAGTTACCCCCCACCCTGGCCATGACGTGCTGTGGTATGGAATACCTCCCTGGCTAGCCTGGGTCAGGCGCCCCGTCTCTGCTTCCTCCCGGCTTCCCCTCCTCCCTGGCAGAGCATGAGCCTCACAAAGTCCTTGGTCAGGGTAAACATCACTTAGCAACAACCGAAAACTTTGGCTTCACCAACACTGTTCCCAGCCTGGAAGTCAAAACACAGCACTGCACCAGCTGCCACGAAGGAGAAACATGACTGCTACTGCTGAACCCAGGACAGAATTCCTAATATTTAATAGTTCAGAAGAAGTTTTGCTGATAGTTGGACATCGGTGAATTTGGGTAGGAAGACTTCTAGCAAATAAGATGTGAGGATGCAGAAAACAGAATACTGGTGAATAGTACCACTGTTTTAATGATGAATGGAAGCCTTAACGTTTGTTAGTAGCAGATATGCATGCACAGGCTCAGACATCAATTTTTATTCATGAAATAATGTTCTC